AGATGATCAACAACGACTCAAGACCAACATACTTCCCGGTGAGATTGAAAAGTTTATACAAAAACAGTCGTATCGACAACCACCACTTGTAAATGCCATATATGATGCCGAGCAGCGAATGAAAGAAATCATGGATGCACCACAGCTTAGCGCAGTGGAAAAACATGCACATCGTTTTTGGATTTTCAATAATCTGATGAGTTGTTCTTTGGAGCAATTGCCCCAAACAATACAGCAATACTCTAGGATAGGTTTTATAATCGCATTGTAGAGTAACTTTCTACAGTGAATTGTTAGATGTTCTTTCGCCCTTTTCAGGAGACAAATTCTAGAGTTTAGTTTTCTAATCAAATACTCAATGTGTTTGTTCCATTTTAAATGTTTATCAAGTTTGATTCCCAAAAGCTTTTCGTTTTTGATCTCACCGAGCTTAGTTCCATTCAGGTAGAGATCCAATTCATCTTTGTCAGAATGACGAAGTTTTTGCACAGTTCCAATCAATAATTTCTTTGTTTTAGTAGTATTTGATACCATATTGTTGACTGTGAGCCATTGTTCTGTAATGTCCAATGCGTTTTGTAATGTTTGCTGGATTTCATCACACGACTTGCTACTCGACCAAAGTGTTGTATCATCCGCATAAATATCCGAGTTAGCTTCTCCAAGTGACATTGGCAGGTCATTTATATATATATGGAAAAAAGTATGGGTCCCAATATCGATCTTTGTGGAAACATGTCGTTCAAGTGGTTTCGAGAGCATAGATAAAACAGAGATTGGCCGAAAATTGCCTCTTTCGTGGGTCGATTCTTTTTTATGACAGGTGGTAACTTTAGCTCTTTTGAATTCATCAGGGAAAATCTCACTTGTGATACTGGCATTATATATATTTACCAAACTTGAAGATATTGAAGATATTTACATGGAACTGAAGAATTTTGCAAGCACCTTTATCGGACGTGTGTGGGCAATATACATTATTCTTTGCTTTACATCGATGTAGACATATTACAATGCCACACACGTCCGATGACCTGCACCCCTGACCATGTCAGACATGACGTCAAAGCTGACATGTTGCTGGGTCCTGTAGTTTAAGGTGATCCCTCTAACTTTGCACACTGTTTTGTCTGTGCTCGTCTCGTAGGCTTAGTTTTTAGGACCTCCAGACCCAAAGGTGGTAATGTGAGCTCCATCCAATTCATCTGCTAGTTCACCAAGATAGGATCCCGTCGGCGGCTCCCATTCGCCTTTCTTTGAAACATAGATTACTGAATCTGTGTCAAAATACAAGACTCGGCGATTTAATTGCTCCAGCTGGACACCACAGACTTTGAGGCGGGCGTGGGCTGTGGTGAACGCGGCGATGACCACATTCGTCTTTACGTTGGATTCCACGAATTCGTCGACGTTTTCAAAATGGACTTCGATGAACTCGTCGTTGATGAAGTTCTCGTCTGTGACGTTAGTCTGGTCGCTGGATAGGAGGTCAAAGTATTCGGCTGGATCCGATATGATTTTGATCTTGGTCATGTTGGGCCGATGCACAAACTTTTCTACAAGAAATGATAGGTTTTTAACATAAACTCGTTTCTTGAATTTCCCTAGAAAAACAAGTACTGTTAGTGGACAATTTGCATTTGCCCCTACCTCAAAAAGAATTCAACATGAGCTTGGTCAACGCCCTCAGACCAGGATTCTTGACAATCTGTTTTGGATCCAACTGAAGACCTTCTTTTGCGGCGTAGTCAGCGATGTACCGCCCATTCTTCCACAATGATGATCACGACGATGGCACGAGTAACAACACGTTGACATTTCTTGCATTTAATTAAAGCACGACATAGGGATTTGGCAGAACCGGCGTCATCTTTATGACGACTGAAACACGCTTCGCTCTTAAAGAACCGGTTACAGTCTTTGTAAAATTTCCATTCAACCAGGGAACAGTTCTGGGTATTACACAGCTTGCACAGATCGCCACAAGGGTGGTCAGTAATTTTATCGAATCCTTTCTTGCACTTATGACAATACGGGCGAGGAAGGCAGGCATGCTGGTGATCACGTCATAATGGTCATCAGAATATATGGTACAGGTATAAACACTTGTCTGCTTCAGGACCGGAATAAATCATAGCGTTTAAATGTCCCTTGGAGATCACGTTGAGTTGATAATCAGGAAGAGCAGCTTGGAACTTCTTGACTTCCGGGATGCCACAGGAACCAAGAGGGACACCTGCAGACTCGTGGAGTTGATGAACTAAACGACCTTGCAGTGTTCCACGCGGTGTTACGATGCTCTTGCACTTTTGATCTTTGTCCAGCTTTGCTTTGGCCACCACGATCGCGCGGGTATAATTATGACCGATACCACATGGACCACGTTGACGCGACAGAGTAATCCAGAGTAAATTGATCATTGGACTTGTACGACGCGTTCGACAGCAGCCAGGAAACGTTCTGGGGTTAGACGATCTCGTTGTAGGAAAGGCAAGGCAAGGAAATGGACTTGTGCAGCTGATGCGAGTTGAGGATCAAGCGAACTTGATCGCGAGGAGCCATATCACTCGTTAAACGATCGAACAAGTGTTGAAAAGCACTGTTCAATGTCCACATGACGTTTGGAACCCCGTGCACGTCCAACGGGTTGAATTGGACATTGTAGTCTGTACCTGAAAATCGTAATACACTATTGTACTAACCAAGTAATTGCAATCAGAAAGACCCAAAATTTGATGAAAATGTCCTCTAATAGCTATCATTCATTGAACATACAATAATCATCATAACTGTAACATGATTACCCGGTAATATAGAACAATTTTACAGAAAAGGATACCTAAAAATGGGGGAGGGGGCTTCGTGGGTTGTACGAACAACGCTATTTACCGGATAGTGATGTAAATACTAAAGCTTCATTTGAGTGTATGGACTTCATTTGAGTGTATGGAAAAAGATTGCAAATAATGCGTTGGATAGCCATTCTTTGTACGCCCAGTTACAGATGTACACGCAAGCAATAAACACGTTTCTTATAATAAAACAATCATGATAGAAAGTGACAAGTTAGTTTGAAAAAAAACCAAACGAAACCTTACTCGTACGTAATAAACTCTATCCCACACGTAACTGATGTTATGCTTAAAAATACACACTTAAAAATATAAAAAACAGTTTAATGTGTACCTGTCGTCTTGAACTTGCGAACGTTGACTTGCTTGACAGATTTGATTGAAAAATATTCCTCTGATCTTTGGCGTTTTGAGGGGACGTCCTCGCTCCCTTTACCTATTTGGTTTTCTGACGGTTCAGGCAACTGTTCGAGCTCGCATAAACCATCATCATTAGCCCAGTCTTCATTAAACTGGCGCCGTTGATCCTCGGTCCAATTATCCATGAAGCCATCAACAATTCCAACTGGATTCTCCCGTGCAATATCTTCGGCAATAGCATTCGTTCAAAATATTATACGTTGCTGAAGAACAGCTTCCTTCTGATCATCAGTCAGAACAAACGACTCCTGAAGCAAGTCGAGCCAATTTCGGTCTCACACGCCTTGATCAGATCCAACATATTAATCTGGAAATGTCATAAACATATTGATCTAAAAATACCGTAAATACATATTCAAAACAACTTTATCCAGCCTATGACTCTGAAACTATCGTAAAGATATATTCAAACAAATACATAAACTTACCGAGTGAGCCATTTTAAAAATGATCCAACGCAATCCACCAGACAACACTTGAGAACCAGAGACCAGTCGCCAAAATGCAACAGTGAGAAATGAAATGTGTGTTTGAAACACGATATTCATAATCTCTGATAACTAATTTGTTTGGTCGCGCTACTGTGTTGTGCCGCTAATTGATCACGTCACTGTATTGTGATGCTAATTAGTCGCGTTACCTGTCACATTTGGCCCAGGCTTGCCCGAGTGAATTCATAGATTTTGCAAGCTCATTATAAATTCCGACAGAGTGTTAGCTGAACAAACTGACGTCATATATTTTGCATACTAATTACATCCAGAGCAAAGTGACGTCATTGGCGGCATCCTTTGTACTCTAAACGGGGGTATCACTACTGACGAATATCATTAATTTTTAAATTGTAAAAATTACAAGTTAAAAATTTTCAAAGAAAATTTCCTGAAAGAAATATTGGTTCAAGTGGCTATGACACTTGATATTTGACACTTGGTTATGTGGCTATGTGTGGCTATGACACGCTTGACACTTCCGTTACACGTTGTTGATTTTTGAACGTTATAAAAGGATAAGATGAATGAATACCCTGGCTTTCATTTCTGCACTCAAAAAGTTTAAACGTGGCTGAATGGATATTTGAAACGTATTTGCCTATTTCGTGAAATGGGTCTTGTCGGATGCTTTCAGACACCATCTATATTTTAGAATGTTATCAATAATTGATTTATTATACCCATAAACAAATATATATTTTGATATATTAGTATATATACAGTAGGTCTTCTAATAAACTCATGTAAATACGTATTTAATCTTTATTTTCCGATTGTAATTATTTCTGGAAAGCCATTTTGGAGAAATATATTGATAATAATAAAAATAATAAAATGGATAATGGAAATAAACCGCCCGCCGGCTTGTAATTTGAAATATGGGTCGGAATGGAGACTATAAATTCTAATTTGCGGTGGCTTTAGTCACATCATATATTCTTTGTTCATTTTAGATCCAATTGTTTGATTAATTTATAATTATAATACGTTGCCAATATTCAGTTTCTGGTGTTTCGACCTCGCGAACAAGCATGTGAGTGCAACTTCTTGTAGTAAATTGGCTGTGCGGCATTCTCTTAGACTGAATATATGTTTATTTGCTTTCTTTGCCATTTCTTCTATACGTGACAGTTCCATTTTAGATTATCCTAATGCCACACTCCAAGTAACTTATATTGAGCTAACTCTTTCTATATTCACACTATCCATAACAGCAGAGCTGGATCTTCATCTTGTTCTCAGCGGCTCATAATATTTATTATATACATATGGAGAATGACCTTTTGTTAATGGTTTAGAGATGTCCGCGTTCACTAAGATTGTAAATTCAGAATTAATTAAATTGTTTTCTGCATGTGCATGCATTAAAGCCTTGTTCACATATATACCTGCGATATGTCCGCGAACTATTATCGTTAGCAGCTCAACCAAATAATTTGCAAAATATTGTATCCATACCGCACGCATTAGTGAACAAGACTTTATACAGTAGATGAAACGTTAATTTTCTTCTCAAACGACTTATAGCAAAAAGCTCGTGTCGAAATGCAAACTGGCGGTCAAGTTTCGACAGAACTGGCTGGTCAAAATGTCCCGCTACATTTCCTTACATAAATGGTTTGTACAGGAGCAGAGTTTTATGGCGGGAGAGTGACTATATTCATCTTCTGGAACAAGCCAAATGTTGTGGTAATGGAAACTCCAATGCTGAATGCGTGCAGGCTAATTGGGTTGCTAGCTTTGACAGGTAATACTTTTGCTGTATCAATTAAACATTTTTGTTACAAAGTACTGCTCCAATTGTAAGTGTTCTTCATTATTCCTTTTCTTAACCTTAAAGTTCTACCACCTTAAAGTTCTAAGTAAAAACAATGCCGACATTATCTTGAAATAATTTAGCTTCATTAGTAAGTTTAAGCAATTGACGTTTTTGTCCACACGGACGTTATCCGAAAATTGCAGCATGAATTCCACCTTT